TAACTGCATTATTATAATGCCCCCACGGATGAAATGGCGAGCATTTTGGTGATGGAGGTTCGAATTTACGATCCGCACATTGCGAGTCCAGTACCCTAACCACCAGACCACGTGAAGCCACTATTTTACAAAGTACATGGTTATATACTGTATTACAGATACGTAAATGGAGAACAAGCTACATTAAGATATGCAAAGAAGAGTTGGATTACAAATGTGTAATATAATACATGTTTACAGATACTGGGATATGTACTACCTTTTCAGTACACGATGGAGTATTGGATTACAAACCATGCGACAGACACTAGATTATTAATACTGCATTTTAACCTCAGTTACGTTAGTTATCGGGCGGTTACTGTTAAGTACACGCCTAGTTGTCGTCTTTAAAGTGTCCTCTCAGAAATGTTGACTTGAAAAACATGACATACAAGATGACCACAGTTTGCATGAAGTGAATCATCACTGTTATGTTTTCAAGGAAAAGCAACACATGATGCTTGAACATGGTTCTATCTTGGATTGAGAGAAATAATGTGCTTTTACAATTTTTCATCAATCTACTAGGTAGATGTTATTGAAGGCTATTATCCAGTTTGTTTATAACATTATCAGGGATTCTGTAGATGTAAGACTAGCACCACTGATACTCTCGTATTCTATTTATTATCAATCAAGCGTCTTGTAAAAAAAACGTTGCTTTTTCTGTGTTATTTCATATCTTAGAGCGTAGAAAACGAACGTAGAACACTATGGGAACATCAGATGATGATCCTCTGCCTCCTGTGCTTCAAGTGTAATAAATACAGGTGTGACCACTATGGGATATCCACTGAAAGAAAGTTATCAAGAAAAAGATAGCAAAGAGAATTTAAAAAGATCTAGAGTGGAAAAGTAATTATTTCTTTTTGTTTCGAAAGCAAAAGCTACTGTTATCTGGGATCTTGAAGATGGTAATAAATCTCATCCATTGTACCATTTTTTAAAACATTTTGTAAACGTCATCCTGAGTAGTTTGTTATTGCTCTTATTCAAGTACTTCTGTTTTTCTTTCCGTAAAGTTTACACCAAAATTAGCAATAGAGACTTGTTGAAAAAACTTTGACAACTAGTTTGGAAGTTATATCAGTTTCAGTTTTCGAGCTGGTTTTGCACTCTTTGTAAACAAGTCTAAACGATATGGAAAGTGAAACATTGGCACCCCGGAACTGAAAATTTATCACTACAGTTTAGGGTTTTTTTGGCTTGGTTAAGTTGCACATTCAATAGTGTACAAGAAAACAAAGTCCATGTTATACGTTAGGTACTAGTGCCCACTTTTCAGTCTACTTATTGAAGCAAACAAGTTATAATAATACTAAGTAATAAATAACTATGTGAAAATAGTTTTGTTTATCAAAAACTACACAAACATAGAGGTTCATACTTCTTTAAGCAAGTGCAAGTTAAACAATATTATAGACCATCAAAACATTTGTTTTATCGCAAGCTACAAAACAGACCTCGGATCGTCTTCCTAGTTAGTTGCAAGTAGCTAGGGTATACTGCCGCCAAATTTAACGTTTGACATGAATTGGTCAGAAAATTAAAGATCTTTTAGTTTCATTGTTCCGTTTGCAACATATTTTCTAGTATGGTAATACGAAGTTAAAGTTCTGACTAAAAACAAAGTTATGCTAACTCTTCAGATGTGTTAGGTTTGTGTGGAGCTACTTCCATTAAGTAGGGAGCCAATAAAGTTTCTACATCAGGACGTAGTTTCTGGAAACAAAATAACGTTGATATACTATTGATTCGAAAAACAAACCGGAAGTCTAAGTAAAATTTTCCATCAGGATATATATATATATATAAGGATGAAACTGGTTATTTTTATTTGCCTGTTAGAGAATTTTCGCGCATAGCGTCCCTGATTTTGTTTGTAATTAAGCACAAAGCTACACAATGGGCTATCTGTGCTCTGTCACCACGGGTATCGAAACCTGGATTCTAGCGTTGTAAGCCCGCAGACATACCGCTGTGCCACTGATTTTGAACTAACACACTAAAAGCAGCTAATCGACAGTACCAATCGAAAACTACTCATTTGAGCGAATAATATATTTTTACAATCAATTTTATAATGCAACAACGACCCCTAAAGCGCGGGCGCGTTTTTGCTGCAACGGGAACAATAAACTCTCATATTCACAATCCAGACACGCAAACGAATAGGCCACACCCGACCAAGTTTATATATAATAGGGGAGTTTTATTTCTAAACGTGATTTGAGAAAACTATATCTGAAACATTCACTTTACCTCAAAGTTCTCTGTATTCCAGCCAGATATTTCCTTACAGAAATTTAACACTAACTTGGAAAATTCACAACCTACAAGGAAGCCAACGATTACTACAATAAAACTGATATTTTTCGAAAACGACTACAACAGAACCAAACAATATTTGTATACAAAGTTTCATAAAGTAGCATTGTCAAATTTGGCGAAATATTATTTCCTAAATTGATCAGCTTCAACAAACTATTATACGAGGGCACACCAATATTTTTTGTAAAGAAAATTATAAAAATCAGTCTTTCAGAACTGTATAATAAATTACATCCACGCTGTACTGCTTTCAGATCAAAACATTGAGTAACTATGGTAACCATGCAAAGACATACTCTATAGTAGAAAATCAAACTGTATGACTTAGTAGTATTATCATCTGACTTGGAATTGAAGTTCTTGTTGGTCTGTACCGGTTTCTTCCCTGGAATATATATATAAAACCAGGCGTTTAAACGGACATGCAACACGTCAATAAAAAAGAATAATAAAAATTAATTTTGTAAAGACAAGTGGGGATCAATATATACGCAAGCTAGCTAGCTAAAATAATGTAGAAAGTTCAAATGCAACAAAAAGTACTGAAACAAGAAAGTGAAAACTACAAAAACTGAGTTACTTAAAATGTAAAAAAAAATTATCCCTACTTTGGCGTATCACTGTAATTATGTTAGTCTGAGCCAAAGCAGGGATAAAATATTTTAAATTTTAAGTAACTTGGTTTTGGTTCAATACTTTTTGTAGCACTAAAACTTTCTATACTACTATAGCTACCTAGGTTACATATATAGCGATTCTTACTCGTTTTTGTACAACTTAATTTTTTTTTATTAGCTATATTTTTTGTGAGTTATTTATTTAGTTGCATTTGATATAAATGTTCACATATGTTTGTTCGATGAAGCTTTCACTCTTAACTATTTTTGAATATATCAATAAAACTTACAACCCCAAGATTCCAGACTTCAAAGTTCCCAAATGTCATATCGCTTTGGTGTTACCCTTCATTATTTCTCATGGCATCAAACTATCAAGAAAAATCAAAAACATTCTGCAATCAATTTAACCCCAAGTCAGCCTAAAAGTGATCTTCAAACAGAAAAAACGAATAAGCATATTTTTTTCTGTTTAAAGGCAAAACACCTTCCAAAAAATCGCTGGTGGTGTATCAATACCAGTGTCCATGCTGCAGGCATGATTATTTGGGTCAACGACCCGAACCCTATCTAACAGGAGCATGCGCAAAACAGCCCTTCCAATAACTCTGAAATTTACGACCATCTAAGCATAGACTGTAATGTGAAACCTAACATAGAACAGTTCAAAATAATAGACTTGGCAACAGACGAATGGACACTAGGGGGTGAAGGAAGTGCTCCGTAACTTTTAATCAAAGCTGAAGAACGAACTAGCAACGCCATTACATCTCAAACTGTGATAAACTTATCATACCCGAGATAGGCAAAGTTAATTGTGAAAGCTTCATTGAACGAACAAATAAAAACATCTGTATTTTTGTGCCCCTGCAATACCAAGCGTGGGGAGCGCATATACTTGATTCGATTTTACTACCCATCAGTATCTCTATCAACCTACCTTCAAATCTACTTATATGCCCAAAGTAGCGCATTGTCCGTTTTATATATATACTAATATCCTCTTCGGCACAAGAATATTTGGGACCCCAGAAGGAATAGTTCTGTGAAATAGTTAGAGCGATAAAGTTCGTCCTTCTTTCTGTAGATTGAGCCAAAGCAGAGATTTATTTTTTAATTTTATGCAACTCGGTTTTATAGTTTTGTTTCATACTTTTTGTAGCATTAAAACTTTCTATATTACTATAGCTGGCTAGGTTACGTATATATCGATCCTTACTTGTCTTTATAAAATTTAAAACTTTTTTTATTGTACTTGTTTGTTTCCTTTTATTAGGTATATTTTTGTGCTATATTTTACACGAGTATCCTTTTCGGTATAAGAAAGGAATCATTGGGACCCCAGACGAAAGAGTTAAGAGTGATAAGGATCGTCTCTTTAGTACACTTGTCTAGAAAAGTCACTTACTTAGATAAAAATTCGTCGAAATAGTGAACTTTTGATTCACTCCATAAATATGTATATGGCGATTTTGGCGGCTTTGGTTTTGCTCAGTCAATACTGTGAAATATTCATTGTTATTATTCAGTCATTATAAAAGTTGTTTTAAAACGGACGATTTTCATGACCGCCATTTTGTTTCATCATGATCTTTACAATTAAGTACTACCCTACTTAGTGATATTATCTTAAGATTTTAACATGGGCAATTTTTGTATTTGTTTTTAAGAACAAAGCTACACAATGGGCTATACACGCTCTGTCCTCTGTGGGTATCAGTCAGAGGCAGAGGAGTTGGGTTGATAATTTATACGATTCATATATATATACTTAACCATAGTTTACATGTTAACTTTGGTCCGAAATTTTTACACAAAAAATGTCTATATAAGAATTCGATATCATGAATTTGTATAAAAGTTTATTAGCTGTTAATTATCTTTAAAACAATAATGTTTACAGTTTATACGATATATTAGGGGAATGGTGTACAGTAGACAATAAAACTTTTACAAATGTGATTTTTCTATATTTGATGTTTTAAACAACAAAATAAACCCTCACATATATATGTATCGATACATACTACACACAAAAAAATTATCTTTATTTCCCATGCAACTCCAAGATTACAATAAATATTTCAACATTAATACAGAAATTCCTATGATAGGTCAATACAAAACATAAACAACATATTTAACCATAAGACATTTTCAAAGCGCTTATGTAAGAACTGAAATGAAACAGAAAAAGAAGTTATGTTCTGAACAAAAAAATGGCCTTATCAGAGAACCACTGACGTAGAATTCTATGTAGTACACACATTAACAAGTAACAAAACACTATACAACAACATTTTGTTTGAGATGATAAATGTTTAACTATGTGTCTGGTCATCCTCCACAAAATCACGAGCTTCCTCCTGGGTCACAGCTTCAATGTGGCTCACCTTTTATAAGATAAAAAAATTTTAAATCATCAACGGAAGAATATTTACATACAGTATGTGTTTTAAAATGAGTGGCTGAATATGTACATACAGTACGTGTTTTAAAATGAGTGGTTGAATATGTAAATATAGTATGTGTTTTAAAATGAGTGGTTGAATATGTACATACAGTACGTGTTTTAAAATGAGTAGTTGAATATGTACATACAGTACGTGTTTTAAAATGAGTGGTTGAATATGTAAATACAGTATGTGTTTTAAAATGAGTGGTTGAATATGTATATACAGTACGTGTTTTAAAATGAGTAGTTGAATATGTACATACAGTACGTGTTTTAAAATGAGTGGTTGAATATGTAAATACAGTATGTGTTTTAAAATGAGTGGTTGAATATGTACATACAGTACATGTTTTAAAATGAGTGGTTGAATATGTACATACAGTACGTGTTTTAAAATGAGTGGTTGAATATGTACATACAGTACATGTTTTAAAATGAGTGGTTAAATATATACATACAGTATGTGTTTTAAAATGAGTGGTTGAATATGTAAATATAGTATGTGTTTTAAAATGAGTGGTTGAATATATACATACAGTACGTGTTTTAAAATGAGTGGTTGAATATGTACATACAGTATGTGTTTTAAAATGAGTGGTTGAATATGTACATACAGTACGTGTTTTAAAATGAGTGGCTGAATATGTACATACAGTATGTGTTTTAAAATGAGTGGTTGAATATGTACATACACTACGTGTTTTAAAATGAGTGGTTGAATATGTACATACAGTACATGTTTTAAAATGAGGGGTTGAATATTGTAAATATAGTATGTGTTTTAAAATGAGTGGTTGAATATGTACATACAGTATGTGTTTTAAAATGAGTGGTTGAATATGTACATACAGTACGTGTTTTAAAATGAGTGGTTGAATATGTACATACAGTACGTGTTTTAAAATGAGTGGCTGAATATGTACATACAGTATGTGTTTTAAAATGAGTGGTTGAATATGTACATACAGTACGTGTTTTAAAATGAGTGGTTGAATATGTACATACAGTACGTGTTTTAAAATGAGTGGCTGAATATGTACATACAGTATGTGTTTTAAAATGAGTGGTTGAATATGTACATACAGTACGTGTTTTAAAATGAGTGGTTGAATATGAGCATACAGTATGTGCCTGGCTGTTATAAAGCTTATATATTACTCCTTCTTTGGATAGTGTGTCTTCCCTAAAACTTCTACAACAGCATAAAATTTGATAGCTTCACCCACACCCACATTTGTATGTAAGATACATTCTTAATCCATAAAATGATTTATTATATAATCTAAATATTTTGGGCATCTTTACCCACAGCTGTTTTATTCAGTATAGCTAAACACCACTTAAAAATATGTTGAGTCAGTAAGCACGAAATCAAGATAATATTCATAAAAATGAAGCCATCTTTTGCTTTATCAACAATACTTCTTACAATTTGTATTAATTCAAAATGATATTTATATTACATATAATATTAATTCATTTTCATATAAATATTTTCAATCAAACCTAGGTTTTTAGACCAGTACCTTATTTCGAAACTTAACACCATAGAACTTGTCTGCTTTCTCCAGCAACTCAGGTCGGAAGGTTGTTGTAATAAACTGGGCATCATTTGAAAGCTCATGAATCATTCCTGTAAAGTTATATTTTTGATTTGAATATTTCTTTCCGAAAGCTGTCTCTTACCTTCAAATTAATTCATTTGCAGTTACAGTAATACTTAGACAAAAACTAAATTTAATGGTATATTTTCTATTAAAGACCACACAGAAAAGCAATGAAAAAATATTTTCAAACCTACAAAATAACAACAATGAAAAATAGTTCTAGATTCAGTTCTTGTAAACATTTTAAACATATATTTACTTGTGTAATTAATGAACTATTTGTAGAACATTTAAGTCCAGTGTATATGTATGTATGTCAAGTAAAAGCTATTTCAGTTATTACTTGGACATGTTTCTTAAAAACAATATTTATACTTCTTTAAAACTATAGTCTATACACTCTTCAATGTGGAATTATACAAAAACTTTTAATTACATCAACTGAAAATCACTGAAATTAAATATTTTATTGCAGGCAATTTAAAACACTACAAACCTGCAACAGCTTTTCGATGCTGTGAGTCCAAAGCCTGGTCAATCTCATCAAACAGGTAAAATGGAGCTGGGTCACATTTCTGAATAGCAAAAATCAAAGCTAGAGCCACCAGTGATTTTTGACCTCCAGAAAGTTGCTGCATTTCTTTCATCTCAGCTGTTCTACCACTAAAGGACACCTAAAAGCATAACAAACACATGAAAAAATTAACCAGTTTTGGAAAAAAATACGCACACATATTGAAAAAAAAAGATTTTGTTTTAATTGTTGCCGCTTAAGGTTATATTCAAAACACTTTTCTCACACAGATGCTCAATAGAAACTGATCTTCTACAACAATTAAAACAACATCAATATTAAATGGTCCATAGGTTTTCTCTAGAGGTGGTTATTGTGAAATTTTCCTATAAATATACATTATTTTAAAAACAATTTTATTTTTTATCAGAATGACTGTCATACAAAAATTCACTTCTTTTTCAACATTCTCTTTAAAGTGGCTTTAGAATAAATTTATCATTGATATATGACATTATAATATTTATAAAAATCAACACCTAATAATAATCTATTAATAAACATTCTAAAATCTAAATTTTATCTAAGAATAAGAAACTGTTTAAAGTAGGTTTTGGATTGTTTATATAATTTCTTTTAAATTACCAGTAGCAAGACCAATAATTACTTCTGAAAAGCACTTCTTTTTGTAAGAAAAGTATGTTTCAAAACTATCAAAATATGGCACTATCACAGTTCTACTCAGTTTCATGAATATGTCATATGATACAAAGTGATTTAAGAACTGCTCTTATCCCTGCTATCAATTTCAATTGAACTTATGCAATAATTATTTAAATCTGAATTCCAATATTGTTTCTTGTGTACAATAATAAAAGAACAGACAAAGAGCTCAGCTGAGTTAGACCAAAGATCCAGTTTTCTTTTTATACTTTAACTAGCTTGTATTAGGCAATTCCAGATTTCTTACTAATAACTCTCACATACTCATAATTGTAAAAACAGTTCTAAGTGGTACTAAAATAGTTAAAAAACTTAAAAATTAACTTACTCTGATCCCAACTCCAGTGAACTGTTCAACTGATGGTACTGCACCTTGTGAATCCTAAAAAAAAACAACAATAATATAGGAACAGCATTTTAAGACATTCCTCACACAAAAAATTATCAAATGGTTTTATACATATATAAAATACATGCTGTTCTTGATGCATTTTAACTTTTTCTTATCCTGCAGTACTTATCATTACAGTTCTGTTACCTTTATACTGTGTTGTGTAATACCAAAAATAAATATTTCACAAAATAAGACTAATAAACAGTATTTAAATGGCAGTTTTAATCGTCATTTTCATCCAGCAATAAAACTTAATAATTACTGTTCAAATCTTCAAGCAAAGCTATTCTGATATGTGAATGAAATTTTAGCATTTTAATAATTTTTTTGACCTGAACATTAAACAAAACTAAAAGTACATTCATATTTATAGTGATCATTAAAGAACAAAAAAGAGCTATTACACCAATTAACACATCAGGACATTCAATCAAAAGTTAATATCAGAAACAAGTCAAAAGAAGAAACTGTTTTGTACCTTGGTTTGAGCATTATTTCGGTTACAGTGATACAGCTGTAAACACTGAAATCAAGACTAGTTTATTACGCTGAATATTTATTGTGTTGTCTTAAAAACACTTTTTCTCTTCACCTGGATTGTGTTTATTAGCCATATACATCATATAGTAAACATGCTAATTCTTTTGAATATTAAGGTAAAAAATAAAAAAGTTCAGAAGTTATTTTTAAATTTAATTAATAATTTAATTTTGTTTAAAAGCCTAAAGTAATAGTAAGACATAGCTCCTTAAAGATTATTGTAATAACAGGTCTTTATTAGCTAGAATAATCTTCTAGGTAACATTAATATAAAGCTTGTAAACTATGAATATTTTTTCTTCATTCGGTTAAGTAACTATTTTTGTTTTATTTTCGAAGCAAACATAGGAGCATCAATATCAGTGTTGGGACTTACTGTGGACAGAAGTTTGGTTTTCAACTAGAAACATGTTTTATTTATTAATCATTCCTGTCAAGTGCAACTCTCAACAGTGTTTGGAAGACACTCATTCCTAGACTTCATGGTTTCACTGTGTGTGTGTCTACCAAACTGTAACTAAAATAATGCTCAAATCAAGATGTAAAACAGTTTCTTCTTTTGATTTTTGTGAAAATGGTGAATGATTGATGATCCTACAGATGCTTAGGTGTATTGATTTGTAGAAGGATGAAGCTTTACAGCTGATATTGAAATGAGCATCAAAGTGTTCCTGTAAAGTGTTATAGACACTTCATCCTCAAGGCTATGTCACTTTGTTGATGAATACATAGAAAGGAATTTTACAACTTTGTAGAAAATGTTTTTGTTTGGATTTAGATACAAGTGTGAAACAGTAGTTGTACACCTTATGCCATATAATGACGTACACCTTACAACAAACTGTAGTAAGCGAATAAGATACCCATCGTGATAATTTTTTGGATGTTAATAACTGTTATAAAATATAAGACCAGTAATATATTTGTAACCTTTGAAGATACAGTTCAGTGACAGGGATCACATTTGAATACACAAAGTTCAGTTTACTTAGTGCTGACTGAAAATATATCTTATTACATATGTTTTCTTCTGTCATCATACATATTAAACAATCACATATATTTATAAGTGGCACATTATAGTACATTCAGGCCCTGTTATACAGTGGTCTACTATAACATGGGTTCAAATATAGTGTGGACAGCTCTTGACCCCTCAGGATCTATGTAATCATGAAATTCAATGAAAAAGGCATGCTTGATGGCTCCTCACTCACTACAATTAGCAAAGCTATCACTATCTACGATACTTGTCATCCAAAATCCAACACAAATCTAAAAATATAAGCAAAAAGAATTAGTGTAGTGAGATGAAAATAGTCATGTACTTCTAAAAAAAACAAGAAGACCACTGTTATGTCATAAGTGCTTGTTATTAAACAATGATGATGTGATTTCTAATTGCATTCAATTTAAAATACCAGTATAAGTTGTAGGTTTTGGCACATTTTTGACAATCCAATCAAATTTCTCTATTTACAGATGGTGATTATTCTAACCAATCAAATATCAAAAAGAGATAAACACTCACTTTTGTCATATAAATATTAGAAACAAATGCTTGAAGTCCACTCACATTACTAGAGAACATACAACACATATAAGCCTACTGCATGTCATCTTCATCACAGAAATGTCTACCTACTGTCAATAATAAAAGAAAAGTGTCCATGACTGCCGAGAAGTTTGCCATCATTGATAGAATTAGAAAGGGATCACAACAATGCCTGATAGCAAAAGAACAAGGCATTGCTGAATCAACCATCAGAAGCTATATCAAAGATGAAACTCATCAACAAACTATTTCTTGTGAAACTGAAGAGGAACAAAAAAAAGAAGGCATGACCAGTCCAAAATACAAACTTTGATAAAGCCTTGTATACATAGTTTACATAACAAAGAGCAGAGTGAATACCAATACCTGGACCGATAATCCAGGCTTGAGGAAAGAAATTTTCTCTTCAACTAAATGAAGACAACAAATTTGAAGTGATAAAGGCTCATTAAACCGTTTAAGCATGCCACACCATCACTCAATTCTCCATTTCAGGGGGGAGCAGCAATGAAGCTGCAAAGAAATATCCAGATACTCTTAGGAAATCCCAGAAAACAAAACTACTCTCCAGAACAAGTAACTGCAATGAGACAACCCTATAAACAAAGATGCTACTAGAAAGAACCCTGGCAACAAAATCCAATGCAGCCAAATCCACCGGATTCAAACAAAACAGAACAAGAATCACCATCTTGTTATGTTGCAACAAGAATGGACACACATTTACACCACTGGCCATTGGAAAACATGCAAAACCTCGCTGTTTCCATCACCTTAATATGACGATACTACCATTCTTTTACAAGAGCAGTACAAACACATGGATGACCAGTTCCATATTCGAAGAATGATTTCACCAACACTTTGCCCCAACCATAACACTCCATCTCAAGATGAAAAAATTGAAGCAAAGGTAATCTTACCCCTTGATAACTGTGGAGCTCACCCATCAAATGAAAACTTCACATCCAGTAATAGTAAAATTAAGGCAGTCTTTTTACCAAAAAACAGGATATTGAAAATACAGCCACTGGAGCAAGGAATCATTGCAACATTGAAGATGAATTATTGCCATGATCTCATCAGGATGAAGACAGTCAGTAATCATGATGTCTGCCCCTTTCTAAAGGAAATGAATTTCAAGGAGATGATTTATACTTGTGGGAAAGCATGGGAGAGCATCTCAACAAAATGTTGCTGGAGAAAGGGACTAGGAGACACATTGTATGATGATAGCGACAGAGAAAATGATTTTTGCAGATTCACTCAAGATGAGACTTAGGAAGCTAAAAATTAGATGATGAAGTACAATGATTTTAATGATGATGACTCAGCAAATATGAGGAAAATGCTATGTTATGAACTTGACGATGACACTTAATTGTCATCCTCATCTTCTTGACTGTTTTCTTGTCTGACACTTCAGATGATGTCATCAGTTGTAAGCCAGGGCGATATGGATATCAGCCACCACCAGCAGCATGAGACTGTTCAGAGCTTGAAAGTGGCCCTTCAGTGGATGGAAAGGCAGAAAATTACTACAGTTAAAAATGTTATTCACTTGGAAATCTGTGGTTTGCAAAATGTGAAACATTGAAGACATTGAGACAGACTAAATGGACTGACATTTTTAATAGGTGCTTTATTTTGGTTTATTACAGTGAATGTACATGATATTTTGTATTCAATATTTCTATTCTTGTAGACATTGTACTTTGGATGAATATACATATATTTTAAATTTTTTTGTCATATACTCTTCCCATGATATGTATATTTAATTTGAATATGTCTGTATCACTTATGATGTTGAAAATAAATTGTTTTCAATTTATATAGGGGATTCATAATTGTTTATACATTATTTAGGTTTCGTTGCCAAAATAATCAAATTTGGTGATATATGGCCTTTCCTTTCACAGTAACTGATACATTGTATCTAGATCATCATTTAGCAAGTTCACATGGCTCAACAGTTGGCAGTGGGACTAGGCTCTGTTGTCTGACCTTGGGTTCCTTTATACAGCGGTTCCAGCAGTCCACCTATAAGGCTGTTGCATATCTTGGCTCTCGTCATTCATGCTATAATGGGACCCAAGTGTATTCAAACAGAACATACACAATGGTGTAACAAGCAACCAATTTCCCTTATTACTTTTTTTAAAATTACCAACAATGTAAAAGATGTATAAAGTAAGACAGCATCTAGAGCTCAGGAAGCTTTTGTATACAGTTAAGTATCCTGAGAATTGAAAGAGAGAATCTGCTTTGCAGTACTTAACATCTGAATAAGTTATTACTCAGTTGATGTGATACTTGACTTACTGCCAAGATTTCACAACACAAAAGACTTTTGTAGTTGCACATATTATTAATGAAACTGAAAACAATTACTATCAGTATCTTACTTAAAAACCAGCCATTTGATTTAATCAAACACAGACGTTTTGTCCTTTACTGGATTCACTGCTTTCTATGACTTTCTAGGATATTTGTGGAAAAGTGTTGGATTTCATGTCTCTTCAGCATTGAAAACTATTTTCTAGGATTTCCATGACCCATGGGAACCTTGGAAGTGTCATGATTTTAGGATACAAATAATTTGAATGTTTTACTGATATATCATTATTCACCATCCTAATCAACTGTGTGGTGTAACTTTAGCTTATAGATATTGTGAACACTTCAATGATATGCTTTGATAACTGCTTATATTTTCAAAAGAATGTCATTACCTGAAAACCTGATGAATCATCATTCTCTGTCTTCATTACCAAAGTGGCATGACCTTGGGGTACAAGTGTTTTGAATACTTCACTAAAATACTTAGATACTTGCTTGAATGTCAGTTGTATAGCTTCATACTTACGCATTTCTAATGCATTCATAAGTTCCATGATTGACTATTTAAAGAAATAAAAACCTGTTATACACCAGTTACAATGTTCTTTATAGACGCAATGTTATTCAATAATTGAAAAGTTAAGGTTCAAACATATAAAATACACCAAAAACCAATTAAATCTGGAGATCCTAGAACTAACAAGAAACCCATTTGAAAAAATCTTTAAAATAAACTCCTGTTTTCTATATGTGAATCATGATGACCTGCTTAAAGGTTGCTAATAATAACACACAATTATATGAAAGTTATGTTTACTTTAGCTAGTTTTAGAATAACTCACAAAACATTAGATATGTATCAAAATGCTGACAATTTTCACATGTTGTGACAACGTGTGTAAATTGTCAGCATTTTGATACATACCCAGTTGTTTATCAAAGCTCAAACACAGAGATAGGAACAGTCTTGCATATTATACCAACCTGTCTGAAGGATGACACTAAACTTCAAGAGAGTTTAATAAAAGTTACAGAATGTAGACAAAACATTCTAGAAGTGTAAAATCATGCTTGGACCCAGTAACTTGACATTAACGTTTTTTATGTAATCTGGATGAAACAAAAAATTTTATTAACAGAATGTGCATTTACTCTTATTTTAATTCAAAACAATTTATATATTTGCTGAACTAATGGTGTTTAGCCAAATCATACAGAACAGTTCACTGCCTTCCTATAATATTCGTAACGGGAAAAACAGCAAGTGTAGGTCAAATAGTACTGCAGAAAAATCTCAAAAAAATGGAATATATAATAACCAGTGTGATTTATGAAGATCACATACATGTTCATCTATAAATTCATGGAAATCCAAGTAAACATGGTGGTTTTTATGTTCTCTTCACATGAATTAAATATCTTCATTTCATTCAAAACAGTAAGAACTTATACTACTTCTGGTTCACACTGTAAGGTTATGTAAAACTAGAATGTACAAACACTGATATTACCCTACAGATAATTTGTTCCCAAGTAATAATGTTCATATATACATATCTGTAATGGTTCAAATTTTGAATTATGTTATATAAAATAGTCTGTAATTTATATTTTTCAGAATGTTAGTGCATACTGGAGGGATTGAGACATTTTTATGGTAAAGTTAGAAATAAAACAATCTTTACTCTCCAGACGATAATAAAAAAAAAGAAATTCGTATCTTAGCTAACATTTCACCATTATGGCTTCTAGAGGGTTATGATAATTCTTGTACCACCAGCCCTGATGAAGACAAAATGATGAAACATTGTCTCACATGTTTTTATCATTATTAGCTGGAGAGTAAATGTTGTTGTTTTTCTAGTCTGTAATTTACTCAATCTAGTCAATTTAACAAATGGAACAGAAGTAATTTCATTTTAAAGGTAAGAAAAAGGTTAAATAATAGTGTTTATAATACATAAAATATTAAACCTCCATATATAAGAAATATCTTACTGAATGTCCACGGTCTAGTTCTTCCTTTCTTTTCACTAGCTTTTCCTTCTGTTCTGAGAAGTTAATAAACTGATCCAAAGCTTTCTTGTTCACATGACTGTATTTCTTCAGCTCATGGTTACACTGTTCTAGCTTTTTAAAGAGCTGTGAAATCAAAATAAATCTGATTTTGCTGTATGAAACAGATATTTAAAAGCCTGTATTTTATTGATATTCTGATGACTAAAAGAATTTTATAAAATTATAAAAAATATATTTCATATCAGTGTACTTGCTATTGTTTTGTAAGTCATCATCGTAGTTTCTGTTAGTTTTGCTATTGTGTGTGGATTTCTTTATCATTGCTTAACATTTTGTATAATAATCTATTGTCTAATTAATAATCAAACAAAAATTAACAAAAAATTGAGTCATTACCTGTTTCATGCCTAAATTCTGGTATTTCTCAAAAGCATCTGATGGTAGTGATCCAAGCTCTCTTATCTTTCTCATACAGTCTTCTTTCTGTATAAAAAATTTCTCATAGTATCACTGTTGAACTTGTTATAAAAATGGGTTTTACAGTCAGATGCTCAATACTACTCGCAGCTACAACTGGGTTTGTGTGCATTAAACCTTAAAGCTCATTCTTCTAATCCAAGGGGATTAAAGTAGAAGACCACTAAGGCAGTAGTAAAGTTAAGTATTAGCCAATTACATCTATTTTTCATCAGCTATTCAGACACTAAGGTAGTAGTAGAGTATTAGCCAATTACATCTATTTTTCATCAGCTATTCAGACACTAAGGTAGTAGTAGAGTATTAGCCAATTACATATATTTTCATCAGCTATTCAGACACTAAGGTAGTAGTAGAGTATTAGCCAATTACATCTATTTTTCATCAGCTATTCAGACACTAAGGTAGTAGTAGAGTATTAGCCAATTACATCTATTTTTCATCAGCTATTCAGACACTAAGGTAGTAGTAAAGTTAAGTATTAGCCAATTACATCTATTTTTAATCAGCTATTCAGATCCATCTCCAGTACTTTAATAATAAGAATTATGAAATTTTGAATAAATTTGCTCTGAGGTAAGACAAGACTATGTTCTTTACTTTCTGTTTTTTACAGGTCCAGGTTGAACATTAATGGATTCTTGTAAGTATTAGTTATGCATTGTGAACCTATATAAACAACTGTCAAAACTTAGTAGAAATACACAATTATTATACATACTAAGTTTTATTATATATATATAAGTATCAATATAGATTCTAACTATAATGAAAGATGTCCACAAATCTAAAGCCCGCAAACATCCAAGATGAAAACGACTGACAGAAGCTTAGCCAGACAAGAAAAACAAACAAAGACCTATTTTTCATTCCTGAAATGAAGCTCAGCTGATTTACTTGTTTCAGATATTCATGGGTACTAGTGGTTCCTAATCTGAAACTAAAGGGAAAGCATCTAGTCAATAGCACCTACTATAATCAACACAGTAGGATTTTTACTATCACTATTACAGGAACCAACATTCCCAAGTGCAGGGCAAAATTTTTAAGGCAAAAAAGATGCCAACATGAAACCTCAAATACACAGTCCCACATTGTAACCATTCTGTTGAGCTGGTATATATAAACTGCAATATGAAATAAGCATGTCCTAATAAAAACAACAGCTGTCACTGAAAATAATTAGTTTATGAACAAACTACAACGTTTGAATTTGAGAATAGAAAGGCCAAAAAAACAGGACCAATGTTAATGAAGTTTCATCACATGAAGTTGTTCATTACAGATTTCAAATCAGGAGCATGTAAGCATTTCAGAGCTACTTTTTGCTACCACGAACCACTGTGGTTAATATCATAATGGCCAAATTAAGAGAAATGGGAAAAGAAATCTGCAGTCTAACAAGGTTTTTAATGTATTAAGTCTACTGGTTTAAAATGCTTTTCAAATCAAAACTTTAAAATTCTTATACTATATGTACAAATAGAACACGAAAAATCTAAGGTATCCTAGGTACTGGCAAAGTGAAACAGAAGAATGCATCCACTATAAAGTTTTTTTGATCTATCAGTGTTTATCTATATAGTGATGTAGTTTTTAAATCTTTTCCCATTTTTATAGCATCCTGCTTGAATGACAATATATATTTTTTCCAATTAGAACTGGCATTATATTGTTTAAAATATTTCATCAAAATATCATATTGTGCACATTAAGTTTTTATGTACACATTTTCAGTATTAAAATATAAAAGTTTTCATACAAGTTTTGTTTTAAGGTTCCCACAAAACTAGTCGAGGGCTATCTGCACTAGCTGTCCATAATTTAGCATTGATAGATTAGAGGAAAGGCTGCTAGTCAACACCACCCACTGTCTACTCTTGGGCTCCTCTGTTACAAGCAAATAGTGAGATTGGCTGTCACTTTATAATGCTCCTACAGCTGAAAGGGCAAGCATGTTCAATAATGGGGATTCAAACTCCTTGACCTGCATTTCCATACTAATTCAAGTATCTAAACACTGCTATAACCCTCTCACTACAGGCAGGTCTAAGTGCACCTGTCACAACTTTTTCTAACACATGCTCAGTATAACGAGCAGAGAATGGTTACGAGATTGGTTGATTCATAGCGAGAGATCTAAAACAGGTTTATGTTGAATAAGAACTAGTTTATTATAGTGTTTAAATTTCTTTAAACTTACTTTCTTTAACAAAAGAGATTGCTTGCTGGTCATCTTTTCCAGATCTTTAGCATCTTCATTTATCCTCTCCTGGTAGTCTCGTTCTTGACTCTTCCAATGTTCTACTTCTTGCTGAAGCTCCTTCTGCTCTTTGTTCTTCCCTTCAATCTTGTGTTCAATATCTAAAAGACACCAATTAAAAGTATATCCGAAACTTAACATCAATATCTATAGGGCATCAGATATGGCATCACGAACAGTGTACCATATCAGCTACTGAATATCAGATAAAGCTTCATGTACAGTTTACCATCAATAACTATAAGGTATCAGATAAGGCTTAATGTACAGTTTATCATCAATATGTATAGAGTATCAGATAAGGCTTCATGCATAATGTGTTATCAATATATATACAATATATAAGGCTTGATGTATAGATTATCACAATCACAATATCCACAGAACATAAGATAACACTTCTTGTATAGTTTACCATAAATACCTACTGGATACCATATAATGCTTCTTGTATAGTTTACCATCAATATCTACTTAATCTCAGATAAGGCATGATGTATAGTATATCAGATAAGGTGTCACATATAGTTTACCATAAATACCTACTGGATACCATATTATGCTTCTTGTATAGTTTACCATCAATATCTACTGGATATCAGATAAGGCATGATATATAATATATCAGATAAGGTGTCATATGTAGTTTACCATCGATATCTATTTCACATCAGATAAGGCTTCATGTATAGTTTTAACATCAATATCTACTGGATATCAGATAAGGCATGATGTGTAGTTTACCATTAATATCTACTGGATGTCAGGTAACCTTCATGCATACTTTACCATCAATATCTATTGGATAATAAAAGGCTTAATGTACAGGTTACCTTCAATGTCTACAGGATATCATAAGGCTTCATGTACAACTTATCAACCATATCTATTGGATTATCATAAGGCTTCCTGTATAGCTAACTATCAATATCTACAGGTTATCAGATAAGGTTTTATGTATAGTTTGCCATCAATATCTGCAAAATCTCAGGTTTCATATATAGTTTACCATCCTTACCTAAAGATAAAAAAAAAAATTAATGATAATTTACCATCATTACCTAAATAATACTAGGTAAGGATTTAATAATAATTAAACTTATTGAACAAAAATACTGAGGTTGCGATAGCACACCCTAATGTCTACTACTACTATTTCAATGTATAGAATTTATTAGAGTAGAATTTGGTCTTAATTTTTCATCAATACCTAAAAGCTACAATGTGAAAACATTCTGATAATGTGCCACTCATATCTGCAAGATTCCAGGTTAGAGATTACTGATAATTCATTTATCAATACCTGCTCGACACAAAATTAGGATTTTAACTGACAATTTTGAATCAACATATACAGGATAACATTTAAAGTTTCATTGAGAATTCAGAATATACTAATGCTTTCCACTAGAAATCCAAAATTTCAATGAATTTTTTTTTTTTATTCTAAACATCTTCCAACCAAAACACTATGAGATAAAATGCTTAGAGGAGGATTAACAGTGAATTCCTGCATTGTCTAAAACTTTCACTGTACACATAAGCTTATAAGTCACTAAATTTTCTAACTGGAATCTTTCTGTTTATAATTTCTAACTTCTTAACAGTTTTTAGACTTACTTCTAGTTCTACAAAGAGAAAGTTTTTTAGCCAACAACACAAAAGGTTGAGTTATAGTTACAATAAAAATAAGTATTATGAGGAAGGTTTTAAAATAAACCTTTTATAGTTTTGTTGACATCCTCAATTCTCTTGTTAATAGCTCCAAGTTCAGCTGTACTATTGTCTAATTTTCGTCTTCGGTCTTCTACAGAAATCTCCTGCAATGCCTGCACAATAAAAGTAATTTGTCATAAGACTTAAGAGTATTATCATAAAATCAGAATTATATGAAATGCAGAATGTTGCCATGATATATATATATATATACACACACACACACACACATATATATATATATATATATATATATCAACTATCACCAAAATCTCAAGACACACACACACACAAACATATACATTTTTTGTGATGTTATTCTGTATTGAAAAAATTGGTTGTTACGCAGTTGTATAAATTGCCCCAAATCAAAATTCTATAACTGATTATATCCATGAGAAATGAAGAATTCTTAACATCTGAAAATGTAACTATTTTTTTCTAATAATAAATTTTAATTGATATAAATCTTACTGTGTGTTAACTAACTCCTTAACAAATTATTTCTAACTTAAATTTCTGTCAATTTGTGAACCTAAACGTTTTATGATAAAAACTCTATTTGTGAAGATTTACCATTAATATCTGTTACATACCCATTATTACACACATAAAATATATTTTCATTTATATTTATTTCAATTGTAACTTTAAAAACATATTTCATTTTACTAATATTAATTTACAATTTATTTTCCTGAAACTAATTTCCTACTTTTGTAAATCAGTATTAATTTGACACTGTAAATCTTTTATATAAACAGAGTAAAAGGTTCATGCTGCATCATCAGTAACACAATAATTTTACAATTTAGATTTACAATCAGCTATGGATATGTGTGTATGTGTAAACAGATAAGATCACAATAAATATGTACTATCAAAGCCACAATAATATTTATACACTTGAAAAAACATAAATACCATCACTACCACAAAAACATGAAAAATCTATATACAGCTGTTATAAAAATGTTGTGTGTGTGTGTAAAAATAAAACATTTTACTACAGATGTAATATATACAGCTATTATAAAAACGTTGTGTGTGTGTGCGCACCTATACAAGTGTGTAAAAATAAAATATTTTTACTATAGACGTACATGCCAACAAATACATGATCATGCCAGCAAAACTGAATTTATACAAAAGTATAAATAGTATCATTTTAAAGTTACAATGTCTGTGGTCATAGCACCCAAAAATTGGAGATATTCTGTTTATCAGACATAATCAAAACAACAGAAGAAAAATTATAAAGTAAGCTACAGATTCAATAAATGGTTAGAAATCTGGATGCTAGAACCAATGACATCCCATACTTCACTACCACTCACTGTCCATAGCCCATTGTGGGTATAACAGTTACCCCTGAGAGAAAAGGAAATATGATATCATCAATCTTCTTCAATTTGTATCAAAAATCATATTGCCAAACCTCCTGTTGGCATCTACATCTATAACAGAAAAGTTGTATTTTTATATAATTATTTTTTCAAGGTTTTGCAGTGCTTAGTAATCACCTGTATGCATTTGATGTAACACAGATAATTGTGAAATATATATTTTTTTAATAAAAATCATGATTATATATGCCTTCTGTCAGCAAAATTATGATATATAGTACTTTAAGAAGATTTCCATAATTTAAGATAGGAAGATCCTAATGCCATTAATAATATGCTCTATACAACTCATCCAAGTACATAGATATAATCTTGACTTTGGTTTCTATTTAATCCAGCTTTAAAACTTTCCTACTTTTGCCAATTACTAATGACATCAACTTGCAGCCTCAGTTCTGTATTTACTTAATTTGCAACAAATGTTTTGACACTTACTGCTTCCAGTTCTTCTCTTCGACGATACAAGTTATTATTAAGAAGGTTTTCAAGCTTGTTCTTCTCAGCTTCCAGCTGTGAAAAAACAACAGAGTATGAAACAAAAAGCTTAGTGGAACTTAAAAACATGTTTCACATGAAAAAACTTCAAGCCTTTTCTGAACAATCGGATGTCAATTTAATTTCTTTCATTGAACATCTGATAAGAAACAAAAAAAGATAGTCCCATTACAGAAGGCAAAGTAATATTTTAAAATATGTTGAAAGATTGTTGCAATGGTCTAACTGTGACAAAGAATTTACTGTGGAAAACATCCCTTCCCAACTCACAGTTTTTAATTTTTCTTAAATGAAGATGATGATTTTTGTGAATTGGTTTTTCTAAATACTTTTTATTTTTAAAATGTAGGCCACGAGTTTCGAAATTACAGAAAACATAATTTTTACAATCAAGAAGTTTACAAATTATTGTTGTTTAACCTAAAAAAAAATTGATAACTCAGAACCCACACTATCCTCAATATCATGGCAGCACTAATTTTCAGTTGCAGAAATGAAAATTCTTCATTGGTTATTAGAATGATTATAAATATAAGCAGTGGGATTCTACAAGTTGGAATTTTCATTAGTAAAACAATTTTGGTCCTTTAGAACAGTGATTTTTAACATGAGGCAGCACATGTAATGGGTGCTAGAAAACCTACCATAGAAAATAAGGTTAACTTTAAAATATTGTTATATTAAATTTTTCACTCTTTCCTTTATAAAAACAATAAAGATTTTAAAAAATATTTAATTATTCATCATCTCAACATTAACTCTCTCAACATGGGCTCGGTCAACTTGACTGACCACATGACCTCTTTGTGCTCAATTAGTCTTTATAGATTTAATACTTCTAACTTTCAATATAGTGTGAATATCTTCACAAAATTTGAAAGTCTTTCAGTTACCATTATAAGTCTTTCACATACAAAAAATCATATTTTAGTGAAGTATTTTTTAATAAAATAAAGATTTGTACATTAATATATTGAGTATTTCTTTTGAATAGTCTGTGTGCAAAGTAATTTTCATGTAAAAATTAAAAATACTTTTCCTCATCTCAAAAATCTCAAATTTCCTTTGTATAATCCCTAAAACTTCCTAAACGTGTTTCAAACGTTTTTTTTTCAGTAAAACTTTATAGTTTATCTGTTACTTTCACTACCCTATCTCAAAACAGGATTGGTCAATTTGACTGACCTTTCAACCACAAAAAAACAACAAAAAAAAAACAAAATAAATCTATATTATCCTAGTTTTTCTTTCAATGACTTCAAACTGTAACATGAATCTACATTCGTTCATCTCAAGTAGCTGTATGTTCATAACACTATACATCTATTTATAATTAAATTTTATTGTTTTATTGACCTTTCAACCACAAAAAAACAACAAAAAAAAAACAAAATAAATCTATATTATCCTAGTTTTTCTTTCAATGACTTCAAACTGTAACATGAATCT